TCATGTACAGTAAATATATGGGTTGAAAAATATGTTGTTTGCGTATTTGCTTGTGCTGAAGTACGTGAAAAATAAATAAAATTCCAATTCATGCTCATTTCCCATGGCATTGAAATACGTACTCAGTGTTATTGTCGTTGTACAATTGAAAACTGTCTCAATGAATTCTGTCAACTTTCTGGTATTTAGATCATGTAGACTTATACATGCAATTCATGTGTGTAATACATAATATTGTACGTATCGAAAAAAGAAGCAGTAAAAGTAAAATGTTACGAGTCGGGGTTTTGTTATAATGAAAATCTTAACCCCATAAATTTATTTTTAGTAAGGATGTATCATTATTTAAAATTTTCATTTATTTTTATATCTCATTCACTTATATAATAATATTTATAATTTGTTAGAGATACTTTGTTTTTGCAAACAACATTTATCGTGTACAATATGATACCATAACGTCATATATTATTTAATTTGACCAGTTGAACTATATATTCTCATTCATACTAATAGGTTGACTTGAGCATAACATGTCATATACTATTTACTATTTATTATTATTTCATCATATAAAATTAAGTATAAAGTATTATATTTGATTACATTTTAACCATATTTCATTATCACGATTAGTTGGAATCTTAATTATTGAATTTACGTATTTGAAAATACAATTAGGTATGATTATCATATTAAACTAGGAAAATAATAAAATACAAGGTTCCAGTGAACAGCTGAAGTACTAGTACTAGTAACTAGATTGTTGGATACATTGTAATTTAAAATTAAGTTCTTTCGGTATTTAATTTGCATTTCAAATATTTTAATATCATTTTTAAAACAATAGTAATGTAATTTTAATTACTTTTTATGATTATAGGTCTGTTTAATGATAGCGTTGAAAACTTAAGTATATTTTTTAAAAGTAAAATAAATGGTTATGCAGTCATTGTCACTTTATTCATTTATTTTATAACTGTTCAGGAAAATAAATTGATATCCTAAAGTTTAAAATTAAAACGTAATATAATATTTATTTAGTGGCTTGGTGAGGTGCGGTCGTACGCTCAATCTGCGCAAACGCACTGAACGTACGTATCGGCTGCAGTTACTAGCTCCCGGATGGGTGACCACCCAGGATTTTTAGCAACCATATTTTTGCCACGCATACACAAACACGTGTTACAACCCTACCCACTTAAAAACCTACAAATAAATACACAAAAATAACCCCTACCGCACCACCCCATACCCAATGACCTATGTTGCCGCGGGTTCCTCTTACAAAAAAAAAAAATTATTTATTTAAATTCAAAGTTATGTAAGTTAGGTTAAGAGAATATTTTAACACTTTTTTATAGATCATAATTCGAAAAAAATAATAAGCCATATTTTATACAAATATTTTTTTAAGCTGAATATTTTTATAAAGTTGATAAAATATTTTTTTATTTTTTAGACTTTTGTTACTGTAACCATCAACCAAGTATATTTATTTCGAAAGTTGAAGTTTATTTAYATAAATCTATATTTTTTTGAGTATGTAACAGTTAAATTGTTTCCTAATCTTCAAAATAAAAGCTTATATGTAATATGATAAAAATAAATACAATAAATATTTTTTAATATATTTTACATAAAATGATTATTATTAAAATGATTGTTATAAATTATAATTATTATAAAATGATTGTTGRTGTTTTTTATGATAAACATAAACATATGATTTTATTTTTTATTTTGATATTTTTCACTTAATGCATTTTTGCTTACTCAAGTGAGCACAAAATAACAGTTAAATGGATTTTTAATTAAATTTATTGTTGAATATAAATTTTATTTTCTATGAATATTTGAGATCTGTATAATAGCGTTGATTATAAACAATAGTAAAAATAAAATAAATAAAATAAATAGTAATATTTATAATAAATGATAATAGTTATATTATACTTAACATTATGAAATTTAAAATACTACTTTATAATGTTATATTTTTTGTCTTGAAATGCATTTTTTTCTGGATGTTTAATTTATTATGAAATATTAATAGTAGTAATAGTTGATGTTTAAAAACTTTTTKAATTTCACACTGTATGTATATTTTTATTGAAATGACCAGTAATTAAATATACGTTAGGTAATTATCATTCATTTTAAATAAGACTGTTATTTGAAAATATCAAATTACTTTACTTAATTTTTCTGCTATATAATCTTTAAGCTTTTTTATGTTTCAACGTTTTAAACAATAAAAACAAAACTTTAAAAATATTTAATGTTTCGTATATTTTATCATAAGTGTATGTACATAATAATATGCCATACTTAGTTCTGTGATAATATTTCCAACTATACCCAAAATAACATTGTATAAAACAATATTATTATGAACATCATGATTAATATTTCCATGTATAAAAAACGTATTTTTTCTTTTTAATAATTCTATGTACCTTAATTGACTATTCGGAACGCCGTCACACATTTCATATTAAATAATGTTCTCGTCATAAAATTTATTATAGTAATATTAAGATTGAATATTAAAAATACACTAAAAGTACATAAAGGATAATTAATATATATATATATATATATATATATTTGAATGAAAAATTTTAATAATTTAAGTTGGTCATTTGTTGATAATCGTACAAGTTATATCTATGTGATAAATATTGAATTTATTTCAGTGTTATAGAAGATATAATATTCTTAACTTATAAATGTGTATAATTTAATATAAATTACAAATTCTTTTCATGTATGAATTTACAGTTGGCCATGCATATCCATTACCATATATTCTTGGATCCTATGATTCCTGGACCCACGTGAGTTTTCTCAGTGGGCCTAGTATTATGTACATTGTACATACATAAAAATATCATAATTATTATTATGAAATTAAGGAATAAAAATAAAATATAATATAATATTCCATACTATACCTATCAATATGAAATAATTAAATTTWCATTTAATTAAATTTAGCCATACATAAGCAATTATTTTTAAATAATTCAATCGTTACAATAATTTTTAACTTTTTACATGAATGCTCTTTATTTATGCTATTGATTTTCGTTCAAAAAAAAGAAACCTCTTTCGGATATTGTACCTTAATACTTAGACAAATTTTCTTTTCCAAAGGAAAGAGTTATTAAGTTAACATTTTCAGATGAACTGTTAATGTTATTTACTTGTAATTGTTTCGAAAAATTCTTAAGTGATTCAAGTAATTAGAGATAGCATGACAAACTCAACACTGTTAAGCACCCTATTAATCAAATATAATAGTAGTTATTTTTTAAAATTTTAAAAGGCATCTGGCATATACGTTGATTGTTAATATAATACGTATCATAATATTATTACTTTCATATGTAAATTGGTTTTATTACAAACAATAGAATATTAAAGTGAAGAAGTCATTTTGAAGAGTGGTGCCGAACACATTATGGATAGGTGTTTGATAATTATTATTTATTTATTATTATTTAATATTTTGTTTAATATGTTGTTATGCTTGTGTTTTATATTTAAAATTATACATGAATGCAGAATGATAATATTAAATGAAAGTTTATATTAAAATAAACTTGGATTTAATAGCTTTAAAATTCCCTTAGTATAATATAAATTTAATCTATGTTTTGCTTCTAATCTCTGATATTAACCATATAATAAATATGTATAAAAATGAAAAATTAAGTATGTTTGTTTTTTTATTGAATTCAGCGCCTAATTAAAATTTTAATAAATCTTCAATTTGAAATGTTAGTTAAGTATGTTTGTTTTTTTATTGAACTCAGCGCCTAATTAAAATTTTAATAAATCTTCAATTTGAAATGTTAGATTGTGTGAAATTTGTCATTATTTAAAAATCTTTATTACAATAATGTTTGAAAGTAAGCCTTACAATAACATTGTCTAAAATTTAATAAATTAATCAATATATAATAAGTAATTRCTGATATCTGATATGATTAAAATCTTTGAATATTTTATTTTATTTTATTGATTTGATTACAATTTAAGAAGTTTATGTGCGTATATTACATGTAACATGACATCGAATTTCAAGTTTCAACTACGAAGGATAATTAAAAAGATTTCCTGACTGCCACAGGAACTTCAAAAATAATAATAAAATCAATAAAAAAGAATAAAATATTACTTATCATTAAAGTCAGGAAATCCTTTCAGTTTTCCTTTACAGTTGAAACATGTAATCTGATGTCATGTTAAATACTACTTGTATTTTATGAAAAACAATACATTATTATCTACTACAGAACTAAACAACTCTAAATATATATACAATGTTTAAATTGGCAATTTAAACTTCTTTAAATTAATATAACCTACGGTTTAAAAAACAAAATAAATTATGTTAGATTAACTTTTAAATTTATTTCTAAAATAATTATCTAAGAAAATAACAAAACACAGTAGTAACTGAATTATTTTTATAATTACATATTTATGAAAAATTGTATTCCAGCATATTAAACATTATTGTATTATATAATATAGCAAATTTCAAATATGTTTTTTTTTTAATTGGTTATACGAAGTAATTAATAAATAAATAATTAAAACAAATATACATATATTTTACCAGTGGCGGCCTGGGTTCATTTTTTTTAGTCGGCTAGAATTTAAAAAGGCCCCTGACCAATAAGACAAATGTGCAAATGTGCAAAATAAGCAAATGTGCAAATGCAAATGGCTATGGGCCTTTTTACAGTTTTACATTTTTTCTAATTTTGAGGTACCATAGTGGCATAGTGTTCCAATTTTCTGTTTATCTTACTGTGGTTTATCCGTTGTTTATCGGWTTATAATATAATATAATATATTATAGTATTTATCGCATGGTATTCATTATTTTTAAAATAACACAATACGACTATCTAACACGATGTAAGATAATATCTACAAACTAAGTTATTTATGAAMATTTAAAATAATATAATCTCAATCGGGTAATGGCTCTGGCTGTAAGGGCCCATTTAGCCAAAGGCCCAGTCGGCGATCGCCGACTCGCCGACCTGGCCAGGCCGCCACTGTATTTTACTATAGCTCTATTGAATTATATTTGGTCAATGATTAATAAAATGCTTAATGTAGTGTTAATTATATGACGAAAGTTTTTTCCACCCAGTACTTCATTGCATCATACGATCTCACATTTTACTTCAATACACAAAGCTTGAGAAGTTAACTAACTTTTAAACTTGTTAATTTCCAGTTTTAATAATATGTAGCATAAATTCTATATTTTTATGAGAAAAATTACTACATATTTGAGCAGTCAAAATAGCTTACATTTTTGACATTAGCGTCGTGTCGTTAAGTGATAAAATATGTGAAAAAAGAACAAATTGCTGGTATTATATAATAATATGTGATTTTGTGGAGCAAAATAGAGTTATCTTCTAGATTTTAGATATTTGACTTGATAAGTTGATAATTAAATCACTCGACTCTGCAAACTTGAATTTATTGGTAAGAAAATGTAATGGTCCGGTTGAATTTAGTATACTGTAAAATAACACGAGGCAACTAATTTAAAAGGGGATGTTGTTTTTAAAAATATATGCTAATATCAGTAAGTYTTATGGATTTGAGGAATTAATGTGTAAAAAAAAAGTATATAGTAGATTTATGCTTTTATAATAAATCAGCAAAACACCAGTAATATTATGTACGGAAACATTTTTAAAAACACTTTACAAAAATACCCCAACTATAAACACATTTACACCGATGCATCAAAAACAGACCAAAACGTAGGAATATATATCTATAGTAACCAAAGATTCCTCCACTACCTACAAACCTCCTCTCGAATGATCTATATATACAGCCGAACCAGTAGCTATATACAAAGCAATATTACAAAATAAGATCATAAACAAAGATTCATCGCATAATAAATATATACTAATAAGTGACTMTCTTAGAAGCTTAACTGGCATAAATAACCTGATGAATCCAACAGACATATCCATACTCATTCAAGAAAAAACCTAAGAAGCACATCAAAAAGGAATAGAGATTTYCTTTCTTTAGTTACCCGGAAACTGTGGAATAGACGGAAATGAATTAGCAGATCAAGAAGCACACAAATCAGCCTCATCTAACGACACCAAAATGCTTAATGTACGTACGTTTACAGATTTTAAAAAACTTATTCAAAACATCCTATACTAAAAATAGCAATATCACTGGACAAAACAAAACACAAAATTAAATTAAATAAAAATCAATATCCATGTATGGAAAACCCACGGCCTAAACAGGAAATATGAAACTATTTTAAATCGCCTTCGAAACACATAATCACCTCATAGCTAGAAAAGACCCTCCCATAAATATGTGGTGTAGAGGTCAAAGTCAAAAACCTACTCATCGATTGCAACAAATACTCAGACTCAAGATCAAAACATCATTTACCCCAACAATTAAGCGAAACCCTACAACCAGATCTCCAATCAAACGTCAAAATAATCAGCTTCTTAAAGTAAATCAAATTATATAACTTAATTTAAGCCTTTATTAAATGTTAAGTAAATATTAAAAAAAAAAAATGTAATCTACAACTAATGTCCCAGTAGCCGATGTATTCACGTTCAATAAAAAAAAAATAATAATAAATCAGCAAAAAACTGTRATTGAAATAGTTCAAAAATATTAAATTTATAATAATATACCTATTATATGTTATATAATTGTTCTTGATTGTGATTTAATATTTAATCAAAAATAATATTCTTTATATTCTAMGTATATCTTATCATTTTTTAATTATAGTTATATTATCTTCCTTTTTATCAATTTTTAAATTATTTGGATGGAAAGTTTTTAAATTCAAGAATCTACTTCTACATCTTTCAAATATAAAATTAAAGTTTAACACATAAACAGTAAACAAAAATAATGTACCTATATTGGTCATGACATAAACATTAAAATAAAAAATGATGAAACTAAATCATTGGCTAAACGTTAGACACTTGTACTAAATCATATAAATCTCAAACTGAATAGTTGTATATCATCTAAATGTTGATATCAATTTTAACATAAAAAAAATATCAAAATCGAATTCCTTTTGAAATTTCACTATTGTAATTTCTATATAAAAAAAAAAATGCCTACATTTGTTGATAGTTGTTATGCATTTCACATGAATTCAATACACCTATTTATAAACATGATATTCAAATGTAATACATGGTTCTATTATTAGAAAGAGCATTGTAAGTCTTAACCAAAAATAATAAATATATTCATATTAGGAATAACTATAAAAAAAAAAAAATAATAATAATAATAATTACCTATAAATTGAGTTTTTATAAACAATATATCCCTAAAAATTAAATTATTTAGTTATTTAGTTTCATAAACTATTTATATTGAAGTTATATTAAATGTTGACACTTACTCATTGGGTATTATTTTGTCTTATCGACACATCACAAAAGATTATAATAATCTAACCTATATGCATAAATCATATACGCCGTGTACTCGTGTTGCATAGATCATTACTAAATATTTGTTAAATCAATAATGAGATAATGGTCTTCTAAATACGGTTTATTAGTTCACAAATTATCAGTTAAATTTTAACAAATTATTAAAATAAACAACWGTTTAAATAATATACAGTTGTAGTGAATAATAATATAAATTTTTTAGATTTTTAATTTATTTTCATGATGATTAATGTTTGAATATATTATGTAGAACATGACGCGCGATGTTGCTTAATTTTAGAGTGGTCACCGACCAAGATTGCAAGGAGTCAGAGGAGCGGCATGACACTATAATGTCAGTCAGCAATTATACTGGCGTGACCGCTCAAACACTACCATCATAATACTCTCCACTCGATCACGATATTCCCAACCATATGATCATTCCATGATTGCCTAATACCTACTACATTGTRTATAGTACAATAAATAACATTATTGGCATGGTTTGAACATTTTAAATGTAAAATATACTGATTTTCAAACTTCATTGAAAATGAATTAATAAAGTAGGGATATAAGTCAAATCTCTGCTTATGTAACGATTATGCTGAATAACATAATTACATTATTGTAGAACATTTTATATCAGATTGATTATCCAACAAATTTAGGGTAATTATAGCTATCCATAATTCTCACAACGTTTATAAGCGACTGTTTGTATTTAATTACATGGCAATATTTATAATTTATTGTAATTTATGTRTTGCTTTTTTAATACTGAAGTTAGGTAATTTAATTTATTATAGTATGTCCCAAAAGTGTCGTATCACTCTTAGTATCTCCATAGTAAATCAATAAACTTGAATGCTGTTTTTTCAGTAATAAATAATAATTATGAAAATGTTAACTGATTGGCATACAATTCAAATTTATTTTTTCAAAATTTCAAAAATTTATAAAATATAAATTTATTATGCAAACAAGTTTTTGAAATTTTTAAGAGATTTTTTTATGTAAGGATATTTAAAAACAAAATATATTGAATTTTACAGGGCATAATAGTTGGAGATAAAACTATTTTTAACCGTAAATCGATTGAAAATTCTTATGTTAGTTTTATTTGATGCATATAATACATGCATTAAATGTAAAGTATAGCTAACGTGGAACATAAAAATATAGGTTTATTCTTATATTGTTGCAACTTTTGTATTTGATTTTGTATTATTTTATTACGATAGTGAAAAATTTGTTGGATTACTGGTAAATGCATTAATTATGTTTTTACGGTATCATCATGTCTCAGGTGCATATATAAAAGTCAGTTACACATAACTATAGTTGAACAGTAAATCAAGACAACGAGAATACAAATTGATTGTATTATTATTATATATATATTATAATTAATCCACGACAACATAGGCCATTAGATATGGAGAGCGTACTTG